CCTCCTGGTTAGGGTTCCAGCTGGGATCTGTTAGTGGCAATTTCTGTTCACCTGTTGGCACCTGGGGTCCCGGACTGTTATCTTTCTCCCATATTCTTATGCCAGCCGCCCTTATCATCCGGACCTCTTCTGGGGAAAATAATATACTCAGGATGCAATTCATCTCCCCCCAACTGTAGATATTTGGACCTAGAAATTGATCCACTTGGTTGGCTATGCCCACTGGGTCCTCAACTAAATGCCCCAACTCTTTCTTGAATCCTCTCACCTCAGAAGCAGTTAGGGGAGCATTCACAAAGCCAACACCTCTCGCTACTCCTCCCATAGGAACCTCTCTGAGGGGAAAGAGTCTCTCCGCCTTGGAGGTCTTGGATCTGGTGCTACAGTACGGCCCACCTTCAGATGCCAAACTACTTTGAGGGATATCTGGGTTACCCTGAACTTTCTGCAGATCAGCAGGTGTATTTGGTGATAGCTGTTTACTGGGCAAGGAGGCATTTGTGTCCCAACTAGGAGGAGGTAAAGGGACAGCAATAGGAGGGGGAGAAGAGCCTGAGTGGATATTAAGCGGAGCTGGAAGAAGGGGTGGAGAATGCAGCAGGTGGAGTAGGCACTTGTGGTGATGCAGAAGGAACTGGAGGCGATACTGGGTTTGTCATAGCGGAAGCTGAAGAGGTAGGAGGAGGAATTTGAGCAGGTGGTAATGAGATGGCAGCCGGGGGAGGAACCGGACCTGCCATTTGAGGTGCTTGAGGAAGAGGATTATAAAGTGGAGGGGCAGAAGGAGGCAAATCCAGAGGTTCCATCTTTTACTAGTCCTATCATCCCCTCCTTCATTCCCCTTCTCCTTCTTCTGTACCTTACAAATTCGCACCCCTTCATCCTCAACAGCGCTCTTTACCCAGCAAGCTACATACAATAATTGCTCAGGATCAGTATCTCCTTGAGCTGGCAGATAATTATTTAGTTGTTGGCACATCCATTTATCCTTTGTCCCACACCAAGGCCATCCTCCTTGCACCTCTAATTCCGGCCACACTTCTACAATAATCGATCATTTTCACTTTATCTAATCCCTCCGTGGCCTCTATAGAATCCCATTTTACTAACAGTTCTCCTAAGGGACTATTGGGATGTATATTCCTCAGTCTCTTGCCGGTCTTTTTACTATTACACCCTCCCATTTTTCAGGTCTTAACAGTAAAAAAATCCCAAAGGTGCCTCCACTGACCAGGAATTTCAAAAACAAACTTTGTTTGAGGAGCTTCAGCCTCCTCCACTGAACTTCAAATTTCTGCCTGATGCTCAGGACTTTATACTGAAACAACTGCCCGATCTCTTGATTGCCCAACTTTCCCAACGTCAGCTCTTACATCTATCGGGACTTGAACACACGAAACCTCGGCCTAAGAATCCGGGTCATGCCTGACTCCCTCAGTCAGGAAAAACAACTGCCTGATTTTTAGTTTGCCCAACCTGCCAATTCTTAGGCTTCGCCGTATCGGGACTTAAAAGCAAACCGCAGCCTCCTTCACTGGGGTTTGTGCCTGACTCCTTTGTCAGGACTTACTTTGCCTGCAGGGCTGGCGAAAACACCCGAATCCTTCTCGGGACTGACAAATCTGCCTGACTCCCCTCTGTCAGGACTTACTTTGGGTGCGTGCCACTCATACAACTATTCCCTCCGCACGCCCGGAGGGGGGGGGGGGCCTTTTTTCCCCCTTAGGAGACGACTCACTCACACTAATTCCAAGCACTTCCCCCTGTTCCCGGCCGGCTTTCTCGCGAAAGGCTGAAAACGCGGTACTGAGGGGTCCCTCTCGCTCCGAAGGTCCGGCTGCCGGCCCTCGTCTCACTCACACACATGCGCACGTCTCCCACTCCTGCCACCGGATTTCTCACCAGTCCGGTGCTCCGGTGCTCCTCTGTGTCGCTGGTCCTGAGCCGATCCCTCTGGTCCTGGTAGCCAGCTGTCCTGGAGGTCCAAGATGGCCAGTCCTGGTGTCCTCTTGAGGCGTGGCTATTCCGGACGAGGCCCCAGCTGAAATAAACAGGGCCAGGAGACTTCTTCTCCTTTTTAATGCCTTTATTAAAAGTGATCAGCTGAGGATTGGGCAGCTCGACGGGGCTGCAGCTTCCCATCATCTCTCCCAGAGCGACCCAGGGGAGGAGGATAAGCTCAGTTCTGTCCACCAGGGGCAAAGCTGGGGATCAGGTCCTCGTGAGAGCCTTTGGGGTGTGGTGATCCCATCCGATGTGAAATTGGTCTCAGTCTCGCTTCCTCCCAGACCTGGCCCGGGGGCTCTCGAAGACAGGGTGAGGAACAACGAAGGTTTTCAGCATCTCTGCAGGCCCAGCACTCCGCTCCTCTCATCCAGACATCACTCCAATCTCTCAACTCTTAGGTGGCTCGTTGTTTTTGGGGTTTTCTCAGTACATTTGGAGCAGGGGTCCCACACACCATGCTGGACCTTGGAGTTATTTGCATAACCCTCCCCTCCAAAGTCTCTTCTCCTCGCTGTTCTTGGGAGGTACCCCACCCTTCAGTGTCTCAGAGAAGGGCCAATACCTCGCCCCAGCCAGGGCTTTTACTGATACAAAACCAACTATTAACAACAATGACCCGTAATTGCCATAACACAAGCAGCAGCCCAGCGGCAACAGTGGTAACCTTTTTCTCACAGAAAAAATCAACAGAATTTTTGTTCATAACAGCCAAGACATTCCAGAAATTTTCTCGAAATTTTCAGATGACTGTCAATGGATTTTAGATGACTATTGATGGATTTTTCTTTAGCAATTTGTTGTTTCAGGATTCTGCAAGCCTGTTTCAGGACCAAAAGAGACTTTCACAGACGTCAAAGAGGAACATCAGCAGTCCATGGACTTTCTCCTGAAACTCAGCTATATGGACTTGGAGCAATGAATTTTCTTTGCATTGCTTTGCATTTTCTTATATTGTAAGATTGTTTTAGTGATATGATAGAATTTTCTGTTCTACAGGTGAAGAATTTCCCTGGTCATTCCACATCAGAACTTGATTGAGGTTTTGATTGGCAACAGATAACCTGTCAAGTGTTTGTTCTTTCCTCGGCATGGGCCCAGCAGAGAAAATTACAAACGCTTTTCTTTTTAATTTAATTAAAATAAAAGAAAGGTGACATGTTGCAGAAATCTTTTATGAAAAATCCTTTCCTTAGGATTTTTCCTCCTGAGAAGCTGTGAGGCCTCAGGAACAAAATGTAAACATTGATTATCTGCTGCTGTGGAATGCAACAGGTGCATCTGGGATTGGTCCATGTTGGATGTTTGTAATTAATGGCCAATCACAGTCAGCTGGCTCGGACGGAGAGCCTGAGCCAAAAACCTTTGTTATCATTCTTTGCTATTCTGTTCTTAGCTAGCCTTCTGATGAAATCTTTCTTCTATTCTTCCAGTACAATTTTGATATAATATATATCATAAAATAATAAATCAGCCTTCTGAAACATGGAATCAGATCGTCTCTTCCCTCATCCTGGGACCACTGTGAACACGGCCACAGCTAGCTGGCATCATTTCCTAAGGCACTTAAAACATATTTCTACTTACTTAAGACTAGAGACAAACATTTCTATTTACTTAAAACTTAAAATTACACTTCTATTTAGTATCTATGTGGCTTCATATACTTTAATTTTTCTAAAGGCTTTACTCAACCTCGGCATTCATTTCTCTGAGAAAATCAGAGAGGCTTGTGTTCCAACAAAGACAGACACATCAAAGCAGCACAGAATCCAAAAAATACGAAAGCTAAAACTCACGGGATCATTATCAGCTTGGGGCTCCAGCCTGGCTTCCAGAGTGCAGGGTGGCTGCATCCTCCAGCCCAGCCCAGCCCTGCCCTGCAGTGCTGCCAAAGGCTGGCATGGACAATCAGAGCCTCTTCCCTCCTCCCTCCCGATTATTCTGTGGCCTCAGTGCCCACAGGGAGAGGCAGGACACCATCCCCATGGCCCCTAGGCAGGACAGCAGCACGCAGACAGCCCCAGGCAGGACAGCACTTCTTCAATGCTCCAAAGTGTCGGATCTCAGCGCCTCAGGAATGAGGTGCAGAGTCACCGAGACCACCCTTGGGGGGCTCGGAGGTCCTGGAATGTTGCCAGAAGTGTCTGGTGGCTGGACTTTGATCCTGCACGGGAAACGACACCTGTATGAGGACGGGAGGATTTCACTGGGATAAATGGTGAAGGGATAAGTTAATTAGAGTGTGAGACAAAGGGTTTAGAATTTCTGTACAGGGGGGTCTGGAGAAGTAAGATGGAGGAATTGGGGCGTGTCCTGTCCTCCTTCTTCTTCTTGGCCTCCATCTTCTGTGGTGATGGTGGCACTTTGGGATTGGTCCTTACTAAAAGTGCACTGGTCAATAAGGGTGAAAGGTATTGGAAAAAATAGGTAAATATTGTATACGTAGTTTTGAGTATAAAGATAAGTGACCGCCCCGAAGGCAGTCAGTGTGCTCATGGCTGACGTGCTGTGCAGACCTCTGTCAGGCCGAGAGAAAACCTTGTAGATAAAAAACTAATAAACACTGAAGACCGAGAAAAAACCTGAAGACTCTTCTCGTCCTTTGGAGCGTGGGCTGCCCAAGGCCATCCCGAGCCTTTCCAGGCAATCAAAACAGCCGAGACAGCGACACAATGGACTTGGCGGGAGGAGATGCAGAAAATTGCAGAGAGGGTCCAGGGCAGGCAGAGCTGCAGGGAGGCTGCAGAGTGATGCCGTGTCATTGCCACAGCTCCTCCCTGCTCAGCCAGCCAAGGGCACGGGCAGGCCCTGTAAGAATCCGTGTCTGGACGGGCTGTTTGGGTGCATTCCAGCTAGCCATGGACCCCAGCCCACTCCATCTCACACGGACGAAAGCAAAAGGCCAGAAGCGCTCTTCTCCATGCAGAGACCAACGTGGCACGTTTATTTCCAAGGTGGGAAAGAGACTGTTGCCTCATGGTGGGTGCCTTTTAACCCGGGAATTGGGGTGCAGAGGACAAGGAGCACAGCCCATGGGACACCAGTGAGGAGGGGTAAAGCAGGGCAGAGACCAGGGGAGGGTACTGAGGAGAGGGGTGGGTGAAGGAAATCCATGTGGTAGGAGAGGGGAAGAACAAACCATGTGATATAACATAAACTATTCAGTGCAATATAGAGACTATTCAGTGCAAATTTCTAATAACCTAGTGTGAAAGAACAATCAACAATTTAGGGCAATGCAAGAGGGGCCCAGCAGCCATCCCACCCTGTCAGTAACACACCCGGATGTGGGTTACTTCTGAGGAGACCGAAAAATACGGGAAGACTTTCTCAGTGAAGGTGGCCTTAAACTCGAAGATCTGCATCATATCCTTTGCATTGTAGAAGGTCACTCGGCCCATTTCATAGTCCAGGCAGACCCTGATTCTCCGTGGCTTTTCCTTCAGTGCCAGCAAGTTGGAGGTCATAGAGAGTGCGCTGTAGTGGCCGCAGTGCAGTTGCAGCACCCAGACCTTTTCAGACCTGCCATGGTAGATTGGCTCCTTCCTGGGTAAGGACTCCAGGGCCACCCCCACAGCCCAGCTGCCCTTTTCCCCGACCTCCACCTCCCAGTAATGCCTCCCAGATGTGAATCCCTGGGAGCCCAGGACGTTGTAGTTGCCTGTGAACCTCTTGGGGGTGTCAGGGAGGTTTTGTTCTACATTTCTGAACCAGACCTCTTTGTTGTCGTCCGAGAGCATCAGGCGCGGATGCGCCGTGTCTGGGTCCAGCCTCACCTGCTCTAAAGGGGGACAGAAACATCAGTCTGTGCCTGCTGAGAACAGAACCAGCACTTCTCCTCCAGCCTGCACCACGGGGCTGGCTCCTGTCCTGGGAACACCAGGGACACTCCAGCCCAGACCCTCTGCCCAACCCACTCCTCCGGGGACTGCAGGGGGGAAACTGAGGCACGACTCTGCTGTGCTCAAGTGCATCAACCCAACAACGGAGAGTGTGGAGAGCGGCCTCAGCACAAATGGTGCCAGCCACACCTCAGCCCAGCAATGCTGCATCATGGGGGCCCTGAGCACCTGCAGAAGCACTTCTGACCACACCTAAATGCCAGCTAAAATCAGGTACAGCCCCTCTGCTGAACTGGGCACAGCCTGACACGGCCTCCTGCTGTCCTGGCCCTGGCGTCGCAGGACAGCATCCCTGGTGCTGCCTGGCACAGGGACAGACCTGGATTTGTACAGCAGGCCCAGTCAAAACAACAGCATCCAGCTCTAGACAGATGCTGCGTTTAGATGTGCTGTGAGCCTATCTCTGCACCAAGGACATGAGGACGCTCATCCTGGAAAGCTTTTCCAACTCAGTTGTGCTCAATTGCTCCACAAACTTACCCTTTATATCCCAGTCTATCTCACTCCACATGTTCTCTGGAAGAAGGAAAGGAAGATCCATGAGTGTCTCTCCTGTGGCACCTGTCCTGCTCCCCAGCAGGGCAGCAAGCCAGATGTGGAGCCCCAGGCTCCAGCAAAGCCCATCCTGGGCAGGGTTCCCGTCTGGAGCAGCCGTTTTGCTCCTGAGCCCCAGGCAGAGGCAGCAGGCAGTGAGGATTTCCCACAGCCAGCCAAGCCCAGGGGAAGCACAGCACAGAGCCAGCAGGGCTTTACCTCTGAATTTAGTCACTATGTCCACGACCTGCTGGCTCTTCCAAGTGAGGTTTTGAACGTTCTTCTGCAGCTCTGGGGAAACTGGCTCTGGTATCAGGGCCTTGGCTGCCTCACAGCTGAGGGGAACAGGGAGAGGAGCTCAGAGCCCAGCCACCAGCCAGGGCCAGCAGGGAAACAGGGAAATCCCTGCAGCCCCAGAGCCCAGGGCAGCTGTGTCCCTGCTATCAGCACAGGAAGCCCATCTTTAGGAGGGCTGCAGTGGCCTCTGGTCCCTGGGAACATCCCATGGAATGCCAAATCCCCAGCGGGGCAAACCACCTCCTTGGCGGCTCCTGCAGCGCTGCCAAAGCTCTGCCCAAAGGAGCTGAGCAGGAGGAGAGGGACAGCGAGCCTGTTTCATACCTGCTCAGGATTGTGCCAACATCCTGTAAGAGAGAAAACACAGGAGAGCTGTGGCACTGCCGAGGGCCCGGCAGCTGCAGTGGCTGCCCAGCTGTGTGAAGCAGCTTAAGGGGGCTGGGGCTGAGCCCACCCCTCATCCCAACCCTGCCTTCCCTCAGGGCCCTGACCCACAGCGGGCACAGCGCGGTGTCACAGCACAGTGTCACAGCACAGTGTCACAGCACAGTGTCACAGCACGGTGTCACAGCACAGTGTCACAGTGTCACAGTGTCACAGCACGGTGTCACAGCATGGTGTCACAGCACAGTGTCCCACCATGGCCCCAGCCTGCACCAGCATGCAGAGGGTGCCAGCTGGGTGTCCCCAGCCCCAGCAGGGCTCACAGTGCCCAGGGGCTGATGCTGCCTCACCTTGAGGAACTCGACCGCCGGCTGCTCCCGCTTCTCCTGGATCTGCGCAATCACCGTGTCCAGCAGCGACTGCCTCTCCAAAACCCTGCGCGTGTATTCCCCACTCTTATTGACCAGCTCCAGGGACGTCTGCTCCAGCTGGGCCAGCAGGATTTTCTTCTGATCCTCCAGGCACTGCTGCAGTTCCTCAAATGTCTCAAGCACACGCCGCAACTCCAACATCACTGTCACCTGCAAGGCACCGCACGGAGGCCCTGAGCCCAGCCAGGCTCCGGCTGCCCCCGCAGGGACACGGCTGCTGCAGAGAGGGGACAAGGGTCACACACAACGGGACCAGAGGTTTGCAACAGGAGCAGCAGGAAGAACGGAGACGGGGCGGGGGGCAAGTCTGGATGTTGATGGGCCCAAGGAGGCCACATGAGAGGGACAGAGGAAAGAACGTTGGCATGGATTAGGAGATAAGGATATATGGGGAGAGGGAAAGGTGGGACATTCCTGGGGAGCCACATGGGTGAGCAGTGGGGGGCATGGAGAGGAACACACACCTGCAGGTCTTCACTTTTCTCGTCTCCCCTGTGATTCAATATTTTCTTCTGGTTTTGTAGAGCAAGCAGGTTTGTCTGGAGTGTCTCCTGAGGCAGGGTTTATACAAATGGCACTTCTGTTAATTTTGGAATGACATTCACAGGATGGAGATGATGTCACCAAACCACCCCTGTGCAGACAATCCCAGTCTGGGGAGTCACTAGGGGTGACTCCTCAGTGACTGGGAGTGAGTTTTGGAGCTCCGTGACAGCACTCAACTCTTCAGACTCGCGCTAGGTAGATCCCCAACCACAGCTCTTACGGCCAGAAACATTTCCAGAATAACTTCATGTGGAAACCCTGGAGTTTGTGGGTTTTAAATGGTTTTTGAAGTTGAAAAAACAACTCTCTAGACAGGAAGTGTGACTTCTGGGAAGAGGTTTGCAGTGCCAGTAGCAGGGACTCAGGCACACCCCATAAATTTGCGGGAGTATCAACAAACTCCTCCTGCTCTGAGGCATCTCCTGCGTCGCAGTGAGCCCAGACCCCAGCCCACACTGTGGGGAGAAAGCCCGGCTGGGGACATGTGGGGCACAAGGGACCATGTGGGGACCCCGAGGGGTGAGCAGGGAGAGGGACCTGGGCTCCTGCGTGGGCTGGGGCCAGGCCATGGCAGAAGCAGCAGCCCCAGCAGGGTGGCTACAGCAGCCCAAGCCGGCAGCCAGACACGGAGCCCGGGCAGCCGCCGGCTGAGGCCGCAGCTCCGTGGCTGGCCGGGGACACGGCCGAAGCTGTGTGTGGAGGGGAAGCAGAGCCGTGCCCTGAGGGAAGCCCAGACCCTGCTCGGAGCAGCCCCAGCCGCGCACGGAGGGCACCCAGAGCCACAGGCAGAGGAGCTCATGGCCAGAGCAGAGCCCAGGCTGTCCCTGAAGGGAGCCCAGACGTGTGCCCGGACAGGACACGGAGCTGTGCCCACAGGGGAGCCCAGGCTGTCCCCGAGGGAGCCCAGCCCCTGCTGCAGGGGATCCCCGCCTGTGGCCGGAGGGGAGCCTGAGCTGTGCCCCTCGGCCGCCCCAGCCCGGGCAGCCAAGGCCCCCAGCCCCTGCCCAAGCCCCCGGCCCCTCTCGCGGCGCCGCCCGTACCTGCAGCTCCCGGGCGGCCTCTTCGGCGGGGCGGACACGGTGCCCGCGGTGCTCGGGCCCGTCCCGGCAGGGCGCGCAGAGCAGGGCGGCGCAGGGCTCGCAGAACAGCGCCAGGGCCTTGCCGTGCTGGGGGCACCGCGGCCGCGCCGCCTCCTCCTCCAGGGACCGGGCCAGCCCGGCCATGTTGCCCAGGGAGCGGATGGGGCGCTGCGAGCCCGGCTCCAGCGGGGCGCGGCACTGCGGGCAGGCGGCGGCGCGCGGGGGGTCCCCCAGCACGGCCGCCAGGCACTGCCCGCAGAAGCTGTGCCCGCACGCCGTGACCACGGGCTGCTCGAACACATCCAGGCACACCGGGCAGGTGGCCTCGGCCAACAGCTGCTCTCGCAGAGCCAGCAGCTCCTCAGCCATGGCCGCGATGGACTGGAATAGACGGGAAGGTGCCGAGGCGGGGCAGGGCCGGGGCCTTGCCCCGGGGCACAGTCCGCACGGTACGGCAGGCGCGGCTTGCTCCGGGCGGGGCGCTGTCAGTGCCAGGTTTAATGTTTATATTCCTATAAATATCAGTATGCTGGAACGCGTCCAGCCTGGCTCAGCCGTGGCGGCGACTCGGGACGGCCCTGCAGAAATCCCATCTCCAGGCCTTGCACTGTGTCCTGAGGTGACTCTATGATGCTCGTATCCCTCTTCATCTGTGTCAATCAGAAATAAATTTTGCACCTTTAGGATTGGTTCTGAGAGCAAAGAGGGGGTAAGTAGAAGAAGCGTGGAGTTTGTTTTCAGAAAACTGCGCTCTCTCCTCCTCTGCATTCCTCCTGCGGTTCAGCGTTGTCTGCAGCATGGACAGGCAGTGGGACAGAGCGCTACTTTGCTCTTAGTTACTTTTAGCTGGCTGAGGCAGAGAAGATCTCTGGGCTGTTGAGGTTTTCTTTTCCTTTTTCATTGGAGCTGTTTAAACCTGTTCTGCACTGACCAGCCAGAAGAGCACCGGCAGCTCCCACCTGTGGACCATCAGACGAGACCTGGGCCTGAGGGACTGATAAGAGATTAAGTGAGCCAAGCTACAGCTCACAAAGGGGACTTTCTGAGTTTGTCGTCTCTTCTGGAGCAGAAATAGCTTTTATTGTGGAATATTGTTCCATATTTTGTGCTGATGAATACTTTTCCCTCTAAATAAACATTTATTTCAACTTTTCTCCAAGGAAATCTTCTTTCTGAACCAGTTGTGGGAGGGGACGCTTGAATTTGCTTTCCAGAGGAAAACCCTTGAAAGGTTTTTCTCCCAGAATTGCCCTAAACCAGGACACGCTGCGATCCTTCCCGAGGCCCGGCTCTGGGCGGAGCCGCTCCCGGCCAGCCGGGCTGCCTCAGGGCGCTCTGAAGGGATTGTGTCGGGGCGGCAGCTGCGCCCTGAGGGAGCCCGGGCTGATCCTGCGCTGCCTCCCTGCGCTGCCAGCCCGGCCCGCTCGCCCGAAATGCCCCCAAGGCCCGGCTGCTCCTGCCACGAGGGCTCCGGCCTCCATCCCCGCAGCGCACGGCTCCGGCGCCTCTCCCGGTGCCTCCTGCACCCTCAGCCCGGCTCCAAAGCACCCGCACAGCAGCAGCAGCAGCAGCAGCAGCAGCAGCGCTGAGGGAAGCAGAGCCCCTCGAGCTGCCTGGTGCTTCTCGGCCTGCTGGGCCCACATTGGCCCTTCTGTGCTGCTGCCCTGGGCTCAGCGCCGGAGGCTGCTGGGTGCCCAAAACCAAGGCCTCGGATTCAGCCGTCACTTCTGCTCCTCCTGCACCCTGCTGTGCTGCCAGCCGGGGCCCAAGGAGAGTTTGGGGGGCACCATCCAGCCCCTGACACGATAAGGCAGTGGAACAAATCCCTCTGCAGGCGCTTACTGCCCTGCCATGGCCGTGCCCTGCTGAGTGTCCCTGCCACCCCACCGCCAGCTTCCCTGCCCCGGTGGCTCCCGGGCCCTGGGCCAGCGGCTGTGACAGGCCATGGCGGCGCTGCCAGCCCCTGCCCAGCGTCCCTGCAGCAGCCCGGGGTGACAGCCTGATGTCCCCACTCATCTGGAGCCCCTGGGCTGCTGCCCGGGCCTACACTGCCCATCTCAGCCCCAGCTGGGGACAGCGGTGGCTCCTGCTCGTCCCCTGTTCCTGGAGCTGCTTTCTGGCAAGAGCCTGCCCAGGCAGCCCCAAAATGCTGCCACGCACAGCAATGAGCAGCTCGTGGCTCTCAAAGAATAAAGCAGGGATTTATTACAAGGCCTCCATGGATTCACCTTGGGCAGCACAAGAGCCCGGCCAGGGCTACACCCAAGATGGAGCCAAAGTGGTCACAAAATGGACGAGCACTCACAGTTTTACAAGTGTGGTCTCATGCTTTATAAGTTCTGCTCCATTTGAATATTGCAGTTATTTGTCAAATTACAGCTTTAGGTTATGAAGTTGCATGCTCCTTGTTTTTCACTCTTCAACTCACTGTTTATACTTTTTGGGCCTGGCCCTTGAATCCTTGGTCTCAAGTCAGAATAAGATTGTTTTGTCTACCTACTCTGAGAAGAGAACCTGCTAAGACTCAACATGAAATTTAAAGCTATACAACAAAGCAGCACAGAATCAAAAAAGTATAAAAGCTAAAACTCAAGACATTATTATCAGTTTGGGGCTCCAGCCTGGCTTTCTGAGTGCAGGGCGGCTGCATCCTCCACCCCAGCCCAGCCCAGCCCTGCAGTGCTGCCAAAGGCTGGCATGGACAATCAGAGCCTCTTCCCTCCTCCCTCCCGATTATTCTGTGGCCTCAGTGCCCACAGGCAGAGGCAGGACACCATCCCCATGGCCCCTAGGCAGGACAGCAGCACGCAGACAGCCCCAGGCAGGACAGCACTTCTTCAATGCTCCAAAGGACTGGGCGGGAGGAGATGCAGAAAATTGCAGAGAGGGTCCAGGGCAGGCAGAGCTGCAGGGAGGCTGCAGAGTGATGCCGTGTCATTGCCACAGCTCCTCCCTGCTCAGCCAGCCAAGGGCACGGGCAGGCCCTGTAAGAATCCGTGTCTGGACGGGCTGTTTGGGTGCATTCCAGCTAGCCATGGACCCCAGCCCACTCCATCTCACAAGGACGAAAGCAACAGTCCAGAAGCGCTCTTCTCCATGCAGAGACCAACGTGGCACGTTCATTTCCAAGGTGGGAAAGAGACTGTTGCCTCATGGTGGGAGCCTTTTAACCCGGGGAATTGGGGGCAGAGGACGAGGAGCACAGCCCATGGGACACCAGTGAGGAGGGGTAAAGCAGGGCAGAGACCAGGGGAGGGTACTGGGGAGAGGGGTGGGTGAAGGAAATCCATGTGGTAGGAGGGGAAGAACAAACCATGTGATATAACATAAACTATTCAGTGCAATATAAAGACTATTCAGTGCAAATCTCCAGTCACCCAGTGTGAAAGAACAATCAACAATTTAGGGCAATGCAAGAGGGGCCCGGCAGCCATCCCACCCTGTCAGTGACACATCCGGATGTGGGTTACTACTGAGGAGACCGAAAAATACGGGAAGACTTTCTCAGTGAAGGTGGCCTTAAACTGGAAGATCTGCATCATATCCTTTGCATTGTAGAAGGTCACTTGGCCCATTTCATAGTGCAGGCAGACCCTGATTCTCCAGAGCTTTTCCTTCAGTGCCAGCAATTCAGAGGACATAGAGAGTGCGCTGTAGTGGCCGCAGTGCAGTTGCAGCACCCAGACCTTTTCAGACCAGCCATGGCAGATTGGCTTCTTCCTGGGCACGGACTTCAGGGCCACCCCCACGGCCCAGCTGCCCTTTTCCCCGACCTCCACCTCCCAGTAATGCCTCCCAGATGTGAACCCCTGGGAGCCCAGGACATTGAGGCTGCCTGTGAACCTCTTGGGGTTGTCAGGGAGGTTTGGTTCTTCATTTCTGAACCAGACCTCTTTGTTGTCGTCCGAGAGCAGCAGCTGAGGATTCGTTGTCTGTGGGTCCAGCGTCACCTGCTCTAAAGGGGGACAGAAACATCAGTCTGTGCCTGCTGAGAACCAGCAGCTCTCCTCCAGCCTGCACCACGGGGCTGACTCCTGTCCTGGGAGCACCAGGGGCACTCCTGCAGCCCCCTCGGCTGGCATGGGACACGGGAGCCTCACTGTGCCCACGCTGGCACCTGAGGGTGAAAAGATGCTCCCTGAGGCAGGACTGAGGCAGGCAGTGTCCCCACAGGCAGGGGACAGACACGATGGGCTTTGCTCAAGCTGCTCCCAGAGCTGCTGGAGAGTGCAGCCCGTGGGGAGCAGGGCATGCCGTGGCTGTGAGCAGGCAGCGCTGCAAGGCACGAGGGGCCAGGCCAGTCCCTGCTCCTGTGCCAAGGGCTCCCCCAGCTCGGAGCCTGCTCTGCCCAGCCAGCAGGCAGCCTCAAAGCTGCAGAGCCCCAGCTGCCCATCCACCGGGGATGTTCTGCTGCCATCCCGTGGCCGTGCCACAAGGCCACACAGCTGTCACTGTGCGGTGTCACCAGCCCAGACCCTCTGCCCAACCCACTCCTCCGGGGACTGCAGGGGGGAAACTGAGGCACGACTCTGCTGTGCTCAAGTGCATCATCCCAACAACGGAGAGTGTGGAGAGCGGCCTCAGCACAAATGGTGCCAGCCACAGCTCAGCCCAGCAATGCTGCATCATGGGGGCCCTGAGCACCTGCAGAAGCACTTCTGACCACACCTAAATGCCAGCTAAAATCAGGTACAGCCCCTCTGCTGACCTGGGCACAGCCTGACACGGCCTCCTGCTGTCCTGGCCCTGGCGCCGCAGGACAGCATCCCTGGGGCTGCCTGGCACAGGGACAGACCTGGAGATTTACAGCAATCCTAGTCAAAACAACAGCACTCAGCTCTAGATAGGTGCTGTGTTTACATGTGCTGTGAGCCTATCTCTGCACCAAGGACATGAGGACACTCATCCTGGAAAGCTTTTCCCCCTTAGTTGTGCTCAGCAGCTCCACAAACTTACCCATTTCCCAGTCTATCTTGTGACCCATGTTCACTGGAAGAAGGAAAGGAAGATGCATGAGTGTCTCTCCTGTGGCACCTGTCCTGCTCCCCAGCAGGGCAGCAAGCCAGATGTGGAGCCCCAGGCTCCAGCAAAGCCCATCCTGGGCAGGGTTCCCGTCTGGAGCAGCCGTTTTGCTCCTGAGCCCCAGGCAGAGGCAGCAGGCAGTGAGGATTTCCCACAGCCAGCCAAGCCCAGGGGAAGCACAGCACAGAGCCAGCAGGGCTTTACCTCTGAATTTATCCACCATGGTCACGACCTGCTTGCTCTTCTCAGTGAGGTTCTGAATGTTCTTCTGCAGCTCTGGGGAGACTGGGATCGGGGCCTTGGCTGCCTCACAGCTGAGGGGAACAGGGAGAGGAGCTCAGAGCTCA